GAGCCTTTTCCTTCAACAGATATGAGATACAGTGTAAAATGCCAGTTTATGCCATACTGTTATATTTCAAGATTATTCCATTTTTCTGTCTGGATCCATTTTCTGTTTGCCTTGCAGTGCCAGAGGTAGAAGGGGAGGCAGAGAGCATCAGCTCCCTGTGCTCACAGATCACCAATGCCTTCAGCACACCCTGTGAGGACCCCTTCTCATCTGCCCCCATGACCAAACCAGTGACAGTGGTGGCACCGCAATCTCCTGCCTTCCAAGGTTGGTGTCCTCTGACTTTCTCAGCTGTTCTCTTTAAAACTAGCACTTTTAATATGCTGCTCACTAACCGTAATTTGGCATCATGAGCTTCCCAAGAGCTGGTCAAACCCATTGATTTCCCTGTTTGGCGTTGTCCTTGTGCTTTGTTCCCATTCCTGTTTCCTAAGATGTCTACATTCACCATTTTGCATGTTTATACCTGTCTTTCATCCTATTCTATTAGGAATTTCTGTAGTCCCAACCCATTGTTTTATTTGCCACTTTACTGTTGAGGGTCAGAGTATTCAGCCAGTTTTCCAGAAGCAACAGTCATAAGAACTGGTTCTAGCGTTATGCTTTCTTTAGCACAGCGGTTCACAGTGGTTTATCACAGGGATGATTTTGTCCCCTCAGGGAAAATTTGGCATTCATTCTCTAGAGACATTTTTGGGGTTTCACAAGTTGGGGAGGGAGGTGTTGTTACTAGCATCTGGTTGAAGGTCAGGGATGCTCCCAAACATCCTTCAATGCACAGGACAGCACCTACAACAAAGAATTATCTGGCCCAAAATGTCAATAGTGCCAAGGTTGAGAAGCTCTGGACTCATCTAGTCTCTACCCTGTCATAAGAGGCTCATAAAGAAAAAGGCACTTCTTTTGGCTCGTTAGTTCATTTCGTCTTCTATAACAAGTGTCCTAAAATTTGCCTTTGTGGCATTGAAGATTTACAACGAGTTGTTTTCAGAGAGAGACCCTGCTCCTACTGAAGAAAGATACTACTACATGTTTTTCTTCTAGTTTTTTTTTTTTTTTTTTGAAATAAACCTTTATAGTTATGTGCACCAAATGGCTTTTTCATGTCATCTAACAAACACTTATAATATCAATAATAGGCACAATTTATTGAGCACTTAGTAGAGTGCCTGCCACATTGTGGTAAGGACTCATGCATTATCTCATTTAATTCCCGCAACAGTCCTTTGATGTGTATGTTACAGATACAAAAAACGAGGCTCAGAGAGGTTAAGTAAACAGCCCAAATCATATAGCCAGGATTTAAACTCAGGTCTTTCTGAGTATAGAAACTGTTACATTGTACTGACTCTGCCTATTTACAAGGTAGTGGGTATGCTAAACTGAATAGAAAATAGTCTTTTCCCTGCCTTTAAGGGGCCCCCAGTCTATAGGTGAAATAGTCTTTTAGACAAGTGCTGGGTAAATAACACCAACACCATAAGCATGGTTGCCCAGTCCTAAAGAGGGAATGGTTATATTGTAGGGCAGGGGGAAGTGCTTGTCTCCTCCATACTAACTATGATAGGAGAGCTGGGTTAAGGAGTAGAAATTAATATAGATATCTGGAGTAAAAAGAACAAGGTTTAGAAGATTTTAATAAAGGGAGACGTGGAAAGAATAGTAGGTACTTTGAGATTCTATGAGGATTACCAAGGGAAAAAAATCTTCAAAAAAGATGAAATTAATTCTTTAGCAAATTACAAATTTATTAAGCAAATAAAAACATGCCAAGTTTGATTTCTCATCTATAATATGGGGATATTAGAGCCTTATGGAGTTTTCGGGAGAATTAAATGGAATGATGCACGTACAGTACTGTCAGCATAGTGCCCAGCACATAGTAAGGAATCATTATCTTTTTTTTTTTTTTTTTTGTCCTTTTTGAGCCCGGCCACACCACGCTCAGCCAGTGAGCACACTGGCCATCCCTATATAGGATCCGAACCCGCGGCGGGAGCGCTGCTGCACTTCCGGCGCCGCACGCTCCCGAGTGCGCCACGGGCTCAGCCCAGGAATCATTATCTTTTTTTTTAAAAGATGACCGGTAAGGGGATCTTAACCCTTGACTCGGTGTTGTCAGCACCACGCTCACCCAGTGAGCAAACCGGCCATCCCTATATGGGATCCGAACCCGTGGCCTTGGTGTTATCAGCACCGCACTCTCCCGAGTGAGCCACAGGCCGGCCCAGGAATCATTATCTTTAACACATTATTGTTGGCATAATTTAGCCTTTTGGGCACCGCACTCTCCCGAGTGAGCCACAGGCCGGCCCAGGAATCATTATCTTTAACACATTATAAAAAAAAAAGTGTAGAAGGAAATGCTTTATCTTCTACATTGTGCCAAAGGCTAAGATATATCTGGAATATTTAGATTTTTTTGCTGCTCATAAGATAGAGCAGCTCCGTTTAACTTAATTTGAAATCGATTTTCTATGTTTCATTTTCCCTCTCCCCATGCACATATTTTTCTAGAATAGTCATTTGACTTCATCAGTACTACCATTTTAATTACAACCTCTTTGCCAAAGGTATATATATCTATTGCAAGACAGCATGGTTATCCCAACATCAGTTTCTGTCTTACGTGTTCCACCAGTATTGTACATTGGCCTGAATGACGTAGCTCCCAAAGGTCGCTTGTACATCCATGCATGAATTAACTCCGTTGATGTTGTCTGCTCCCATTGTAGCTAATGGCACTGACTCAGCCTTCCATGTGCTTGCTGCTAAGCCAGCCCATACTGCTCTAGCACCCGTAGCAATGCCTGTGCGTGAAACCAACCCTTGGGCCCATGTGCCTGATGCTGCTAACAAGGAAATTGCAGCCACACGTTCGGGTAAGGTAGCCACAGATGGTGGTGAGGAATCTGGGATCACAGAAGTGACCCTTGTTCTAAAATCAGCCAGTTACCTGACTGGGAAGTAGGAAGGAATCCTTTTAGGAAAAGTATGTTCTCTCATGGAAATAAACTGCTATTAAGAAAAGATGGTGTAGAAGAGGAGCAAAAGAGATTAGACTGATAGTTCTTAGGACTATGGAACTGAACCACCCAGAGAGCTTTTATAAAATACAAATTCCCGGGCTCCACCCCCAAAGAATTCATCACTGGATTTGGTGATATGGAGGAAGAAAGGACCCTGCCTCCCCAAAAAGTGCTACAAAAAGCACTTCATTTTTGCTGTTTTGTATTTTTTAGTTTTTCTATAATGAACTTCTATTAACTATAAAACCAAAAAGTTTAAAAATAGTAATAAAGGCAAATCACCAGGAAGACAACATATGCCTGGAAGCCAGACAGGGGCCAGCAAGGTATGGCCAGGTCACTGGTTATTTTCTTTTTGCTCTTTTGGAGCGGAAGAGGAATCACCTCAGGCCCTGTGAAGTATGTACAAGCTAGTTTCTGTACTGTGGATGAGCCATGGCAGCAGGGAGGTATTTCTGATCCCAGCCAGCTGCCTTGATATGATGCATTTGAGCCATATCTAGACAGCTTCTCAACGTGGCTAAGACAGCAGCATGGTCTGACAGGTTCTCTTTGCCCTACCACAAAATCTCCTCATATGGTAATACTTTCCTCCCACCTACCAAAACCACAAAATGTCCCATTAGGGGACTTGTTCCACATGTTAGGATCATTCAGATAACCAAGGTGAAAAGGTGAAAAAAGAGGCCCCTAACTCTGATTTCTTTTGTGTTTCCAGGCACCGAGTGGGGTCAATCTTCTGGTGCTGCCTCTCCGGGTCTCTTCCAGGCTGGTCATAGACGCACTCCCTCTGAGGCCGACCGCTGGTTAGAAGAGGTGTCTAAGAGCGTCCGGGCTCAGCCGCCCCAGGCCTCAGCTGCCCCTCTGCAGCCAGTTCTCCAGCCACCCACTGCCATCTCCCAGCCAGCACCGCCTTTCCAAGGGAATGCATTCCTCCCTTCTCAGCCCGTGCCAGTGGGTGTGGTTCCACCCCTGCAACAAGCCTTTGTCCCTGCCCAGTCCTATCCTGTGGCCAATGGGATGCCCTATCCAGCCACTAATGTGCCTGTGGTGGGCATCACTCCTTCCCAGATGGTAGCCAATGTGTTTGGCACTGCAGGCCATCCTCAGGCTGCCCACCCCCATCAATCACCCAGCCTGCTCAAGCAACAGACATTCCCTCAGTATGAGACAAGCAGTGCTACCACCAGTCCCTTCTTTAAGCCTCCTGCTCAGCACCTCAACGGTTCTGCAGCTTTCAATGGTGTAGACGATGCCAGGTTGGCCTCAGGAGACAAGCACATAGAGGTTCCTGCAGGCACCTGCCCAGTGGATCCTTTTGAAGCTCAGTGGGCTGCATTAGAAAGCAAGTCGAAACAGCGTACTAATCCCTCCCCTACCAACCCTTTCTCCAGTGACTTACAGAAGACATTTGAAATTGAACTTTAAGCAATCCCTATGGTTTATGTGTCTTGTCCATACTTAGGCAAGGGTGGGGGTGGAGATCGAAGGAGTGAAGGAGACTTTGTCTTCATCAATATACTTTTTGCTAATCCCAAAGGTCCCAAGGAATAAGTTCAGGCACACAGTTCAGTAGGGGGTGATTTTGAAAGAAGTGGGAAAAATCATTCCTAGAGAAGAGCTATCTTGCAGTTAGGCTAAAGAAGTCAAGGAAATATTGCCCTCTCTGTTCCCTCCTTCACCCCCTTACAAATCTCTGGCAACAGAGAGGCAGAAGTATCAGAACAGGAATCTATATAAAAAGCACATTTACTGGAAGATAAAACACAAGGGGAAGCAAAAGATCTCCCTTTCTTTTTCAGGCCATTCATCTGCCTCCTCTCAGTACTGGCCTGGCATAGAGATCAAGAACAGAGTGGTTTGTAGCTCAGGCTGGGGAGGAGAGGAAGGCTGTGCTGCCAGAATTCCCAGGAAGGCACATCAGCCACTGCCCAGCAGAGCTATCTTGAGTAACAGAATATTATAAATATATATCAAAAAAGCCAAAATCTTTATTTTTATGCATTTACAATATTTTAAATAGTTCGATATTAAAAAGTTGTATGAGTTGTAAGTAATCTTGCCAAAGGTAAAAGGGTTAGTTGTAAGAAATTGTACATAAGATTGATTTATCATTGATGCCTATTGAAGTAGAAAGAGGAAATGTTGGAGGTTGCAGACGGGATCCCTAGCTTGTTTGCCATCATTCATTGTAAGTAGCACATTGCAACAACAATCATGCTTATGACCAATACAGTCACTAGGTTATAGTTTTAAATAAAGAAAAAGAGCAGTATTGTCCTGGTTTTAAACCTATGATGAAATTCTAATGTCATTATTTTAATGGAATCAATCTAAATATGCTTTATAGAGAATATGTATTCTTTTATATATTGTTGCAATTTCCTTATGTTAATCCTTTAACACTAAAGTGACAATGACATAATCATATCCACAGAAGGGAATGCAGGTTACTGTGTTGGTTTTTAATGTGGGTCTTAGCAGGTTTTGTTTCGCCCTTTAAATTTTGTTCCCACAAGTTTTGTGGGGATGGGAATTCTGGTTTTAATTAGCTTTGTGTGCCCCCCCCCCGGAATCTCCCCTTTTGGTGAGCAGAACATCCCATCGCTAGCAGCAGCCACTTAACCTCGGGTAACAACATGAGATCCCATCTCATTTTTACTTTTGAACGTTGGCCTTACAATCAAATGTAAGTTATATATATTTGTACTGATGACAATTTATAATCTGCTTTAACAGAAATAAATGTTCGTGGTAGAACCTTTTGACCATGAAGGGCTGTTCTTTCCCTTTTCTTTATTAGCAAAGTAAGTTTACTTTTAGTTCTTTTTGGCCTTATTTTCTTTCCATTCTACTGCTGCTGTAGATCCTTAGTTTAGTAGTTAGGAAATGTTTTATTGGGACTAGTACATCCTTGAAATGCATATTTTCATTCATACTTTAGGCATTGATTGATCCTGAGTGCATCTCTAAAATCAGATCTTGCTGCTCAAAGTGTAGTCTAGAACAGCAGTGTGGACTTCACCTAGGAACTGATTAGAAATGCAGAATCTCAGCCCCACCCCAAGGCTGGACCAGTGAGTGCTTCTCAACCTTGGCTACATATTAGAATCACCTGGGAGCTTTTAAAATCCTAATGCCCTGCCTATACTCTAAACTGATTAAATCTAAATTTTGGAGGGGAGATGGGGACCCCAGGTTCAGCCTATTTTTTGTTTTTGTTTTTGTTTTTAACTCCCAATAAGGAAGAGGGTTGAGAACCACTGGTCTGGAGTGAATTTTATTCTCACCTATAACCTTAGCCTACTGTTCTGTGACTGATTCCAAGAATGGTTAGCTGCAAAGGACAAGCCAACCTGAAACTTACCTTCTCAAGTGTCTATGCCAATAGGCCAAATTCCTGTTTAATTAAATTGGGGAGTCCAAGAAAGTGGCCCTTTTTTTCCAATTTCTATAGCAAAACCAGCATGGTAAATGAAAAGAGGTGTTCCTCAGTATTTTATAAGTGGAAAAAAAAAAAAAGACCTCTGTCCCTGGCCCATATTTCCTTTGTTGAATGAGAGGTAGTCCGACCTGTACACTCACTGGTGATGCAGTTTGTTGCTTTTCCAGCCAGTGTGTTGGTAATAAGTCACCTTTCAGAGATTTAGTCCCTGTAATGCCTTTCCTGTGTCCAAGATAACCTTTGTTATTGGGCAGTCCTCTGGAGCATTTGTAGAAGGTTAAAGTGGAAAGGGACTTGGAAGCTCATTGAATCCAGCCACTTCAAGGAATCCAGTAGCATCAGGAATTAGAGGTTCTGAAAGATGAATGACTTCTTCCGATGCAAACCATTCCCTGTTATTTATACTGCCCTCACCCCCACCCCCTATTGGTATCTCCCATCTTGCTAATGCTGTTATTAATAGTCTGATTTTTCTCTGGTAGCAAACATTTTGCTTCACAGATTCCCACTTAAGGAAGAGAGGATCCTTGTTGTTGCTGTACAGAGCAGGCTGGTCAACCTTACACAGGTGTCAGACGAACCTTCACAGCCAGTGTTGCGTGTCTGCCTCAGGAGGGCTTCAGGGTCCAGCTTCCCAATGAAGTAAGGAGCTTTTCCAGTTCTTTCATGCTCAAATAACAGTGCTAACTGCAGCTCTTTCATCCCAAATCCCTATACTGAGGCCTTAGATTATATTCCACTTTGTCGAGAGCTTTCACAAGCATTATGTGTTAATCCTGGAAAACAGACAGGATTTGAAGCTGACTGCTGTACTACCTAGAAGGATGAGAGGCTAGAGAAATGGAACACTGTTTAACCCCTGATGAGACAGCACTAACACAGAATACTTCCCTGACACAGCAGGAGTTGGCATTCCCCTTATAAGATAGGTGTAAACTTTGAAATCATTATACACCTTCCCAACCAGCTTTAAATAAAGTGAGAGCCCTGACAGCTTTAAAACGCAGTGAACTGATCCTGAAACAGAAATTACAAAGAGAAGTTGTAAAGTAAAGGTTCTCCTTATTCAAACAGATTCCTCCTCTTGCCAATTCAGCAGCAGCCTATGGTTATGTCAGAGATGCGCACACTAAGGACTGCAGAGGGAGGCTGGTACTGGCTGCTGCTGAGGCTAAACACTGGTTGGGTTTTCGAAAGGGCTAGTGTCTCCAGAAGATGACTCCTTTTGCCAGCCAGAGAGAGGAGGCTGAGAATCCATCTTCCCTTCTCCCCAGCCCTAATAACCTTTGGAACTGGGGCTGGAGCTATCCTTCATCCTTGCTGCCAGACAGGATGAGCGTGAGGCTGGAAGCGGGAACAGCTAGCACAGCAGAAGCTAGAATAATACTCATTGCCACAGAGCTGGGCCTGCAGGATCAAGTCACAATTGGCCAGCTCCGGCTGGTCGATGCACTCTCTGCTGGGGTCCCTAGGCTGGGCGGCAGGTGCTGCAGAACAACAGGGGAGAGAAAAAGTGGTGTAAGAGTCTCATGTGCCATTTCATTTCCTGCAAAGGAAAGCGGCAGCATAACTGCCAGATTCAAAACAAAGTACAGTTACTCTATAACCTTTTAACACCTGTGTGTACAAGCTCTGTGGGATTATGACTTGTTGGCCTCACTTTAGCATGTACTAGTCCTCCCATTCTTATCCGTGGCCTTAGCCCCATGCACAGCCCTTACCAGACTCCCAAATATTTACTGACTGGACCATTATTAAATATCTCTTGAAGTTAATTCCATACCCTTACTATTGAGACCTGAAAAGCTGGATGACAACTGCTTTGGCCTCTGGTTTGGAAGGAAGAACAGGTACGATCAGTCCTAAGTAAAATTTTGAGTTAAAAAGAGCTGTGGTATCTTCTCCATTTTTTCTAATTTTTCCACTTCTCCTAGAGAAAGCAATGCATATTAGATAAGGTGATAGGAAAACAGTCTTGTCTGTGGCCCTAATTATACTGAGAACAAAGCCCTTGTTGCCACCCCCTCTGAATTTACCAGGAGCTTCTGTGTCTTAGAACTGAAATGGCCTTATATATTAAACTCCTCTTTTCTTTCTTGAAGAAACTCATGACTCAGCTTGGCTTAGGCCTGAGCACCACCTTCCCTGAAGTCAGACCTCACGGGGCTAGGGAAAGCTTACCTTCACATCCTCTCCCTCCTTGTTCCCTAACAAAATACCACTGATAGACCATACTTAACCTGTGGACAATCTTATAAAGGTTTGGTGTATCAGCATAACCACAGTAGTAACTACTTACATTTACATAAATAGCAAAGCCATTTATTCACATTGTTTGAAAAATCTATACCTTTGGCATCAACTTTGTCTGGGCTGGTACAGCTCCTGGGCCTCTCACAGTAGGTGCTCAGCGTAGCAGTTAAGCACACCAGCTCTGGAGCCAGACTGTGCAATCCAGTTACCACTTATCAGCTAAGTGACTTTGGGCAAGCTACTGAGCTCTCTATCTCTTGTTTCCTCATCTGTGAAATGGAGACTATAACAGCACCTCCTTCACAGGGATGTTCTGAGAACTAAATGAGTTAAGGGGCCGGCCCGTGGCTCACTCGGGAGAGTGCGGTGCTGATAACACCAAGGCCCCGGGTTCGGATCCCATATAGGGATGGCTGGTTCGCTCACTGGCTGAGCGTGGTGCTGACAACACCAAGTCAAGGGTTAAGATCCCCTTACCGGTCATCTTTTTAAAAAAAAAAAAACAAAAACAAAACTANAAATAAATAAATAAATAAATAAATAAATAAATAAATAAATAAATAAATAAATATAAATAAATAAATATAAATAAATAAATATAAATAAATATAAATAAATAAATTTCACTGCGTAAGAAAATAAACATTTTCCTGTACTGGCAAGTGTGGTGCTGACAACACCAAGTCAAGGGTTAAGATCCCCTTACCAGTCATCTTTTAAATTAAAAATAAATAAATAAATAAATAAATAAAAGCATGAGGCTAGGCCAGAGTGGGTGACGGCCTATGTTTATCACTACGTACAGAAAATATCCAGCACTTTTGTTCCTCACCTCAGTCTTTTAGGCAAAACAATTGAGAAGTCCTCACAGTAGAACTATATCCCTTACACCAGAGCATGACTAGCACTAGCCCAAGACCCCCACACCCTGATCTAACAATGTAATTCTAATATGCCAACAAACGGCAAAACAATTGAGAAGTCCTCACAGTAGAACTATATCCCTTACACCAGAGCATGACTAGCCCAAGACCCCCACACCCTGATCTAACAATGTAATTCTAATATGCCAACAAACCACAGCTGGTGCAAGGTGAGGCAGCCTCATGCTGTGTGACCCTACAAAAAACATAAATGGATGAAAACATCTGCAGCCTAATCAATGGATTGAATACAAATAACGAGAGGGACAGTTTCTCATCAGGAAAGGTACCCCAAAATATCCAAAATTGGCAGCAGTCATCCAGCAGACGGTGGCTTGACTGAGGCCATGAGTGTCCTGTCTGGGACGCAGGTCTCATCAGACCATCTCAGCTTGGCAACCACGCATATTCAGGAGCTCCACTAGACTTGGTCATCAAGCAAGTTTCTGATGATAATTTGGTTTCCCATGTAAACATCTACAGCTAATCACAAACATGAATATCTGGGTCCTCTTAATAGCTCTCTTCCTCATAGTAAATCTGTATTTTGGTTTGTCTCAAGTCTTGTAAGTTTAGTATATGTAGATAAGAGATAAATTTTCTGGACACTTATAGAGGCAAAAAATAGTCCCTGCTATGTGGTGCTTTTGCCAGGATAATGCCATCATTCTTGTATGCACGTACTTAGTCACCAAGCACTGGGCTGGGCCCTGGGGACACCAATCTCAGTTGCTGCCTAAGCCGCTCACAGACTGGAAGCCTACGTGTCAGTCCCACTCACAAAGCAATATTTCAGCCACAGACCTTCAACTTCATGCAGTGGCCAGTCCCCACCTCAGACTGGCAGACATGAAGGGTCCAGGCACACTCTCCCCAAGGTCTGTGCTAAGCCTGTGAGAATCAGCGGCTTGGCTCAGGACACTGCCCTGCTGTTCAGTCCCTCAGTGAACCAGGACTGAGGACACATAGGAAAGCAACCTGGGGGTGGGCAGAGCCTCCCCACTCCCCCTTTCCCGGTGGCTTATTTGAACACAGAGCTCTTGTGAGTTTAAACATTACACCACACACTATTTCATCAATTCTCGAGTACACTTATTCTCACACCTCTCAAATTGGTTTGCATCTTAAGTGATGGTATCTTAGCATTGTCATTTGATTGGCAGCACTTTATTTTCTTAATGGTAGAAAAATAATGCATCTTACAATATGGTATTTTTATTTGTTGAAATATAACTCAGAGCAGAAGCTGTAGAATATAAGGCTAAACTATCAAATTACTGAATAATGCAGGTAACATTCCATTAACGGGTGTAATAGTTTAGTGAAAAAAACATTAAAAATGGGGAATCAAAAGACCTGGTTCTAGTCCCAGCTGGGGCACTAATTTGCTATGTGACTGGTGGAAACACCACCTAAGTGCTTTGGATACCTGTCTCATTTGTAAAATGGTGATGATAATCCCTGCTCTGGGATTAGATGGTCAAATGGCCATGAAGGCACTTTTCAGTTGTAGGACCACTTTTTGCCATCCTGATTAGAACGGACAGATTTTAGTGGTCTATATGACTTAACTATTATAATGAAATTCCAATCAATCATATTTCTCAAGATAAATTAGTTAAGTCTAAGTGACAGTACTTAACATCTATTAAGTTATTACCAGGTACCTAGCTAAGCATTACTTCCTTCATCTTCATTACAACCTTCTCAGGTAGTGGTGTAGTCCCACTGCACACGTGAGGGAAGTGAGACTCAGGAAGGTTAAGCTCTGAGTCATGCTACCAGAAACTGGCACAGTGAGGTAGGATTTGAACTCAAGTCCCTTGGACTGCAAAGCCTGTGCTCTTCTATGGCACACAGCCAGCCCCGGAGAATAAGCAAATGTGCCACTTCCCACCCCCTGCAGATAGGCCTTTCTTACCTGGTGGGACTACCTTCACCTCAGTGCTGCGGCTGGCTGACTGGCTTCCATGGTAGGCACTGCACGTGTAGGAGCCCTCGTCCCTGGCTCGCAAGTTGTGGATCAGCAGTGTGCCATCTGGGGACTGGTGGACACGGTGGCCATCGGCCTGCACTGGCAGCCCATTCCTGGAGGGGAGAGGACACTGGGAGAGCTGTCCAGGGCCTCTAGTCTTCAGGCCCTAGGAGACTCGGGAGACAAGCCTGGAGGCAATCAAAGGCCATTCCAGAGCCAACCCCTACTTCCTCCCCTTGAAGGTAAACAGTGACCTTTAACCTCAAGGAAGAATTGGGTCAGGTGCACCAAAAAGACAGGAGAATGCTATCAAAGCAAAAGAATACAAGTGAGGTGAACTTGCATGAAGCAAGCACACTGAGCTGAGTTACTGTAAGTTTGCTTCTAATCTGTAAAGGAATCCCTCTTTGGCTTTTCACTAACAAAGGTCTCTTAAGCAGCAGTTTGGTACCAGGCCCTATGCTGGATGAAATGATCCAAGCACTAAGCACTCCCTGCCTCCAGGGCACTGGGGAGGGGGTGCAGGCCTTTAGGGAAGCCTTATTTCCTGAGGAAGGGGGCTAGCTGAGACTTGATCTGAGGAGGAAGTGGGGGAGGAGGCAGCAGCTGGCCCATGGAGAGGGAGAGTCCAGGAAGCTTGAAGGAAGGTCAGGGCTGGAGCAAGCAAGGGAAGTGTTGATGGGAGGCTAGAGAGGGGCGAGAGCTAGTCAGAGACTGACGTGATATTTTCACTTGGACTGCAGTGTGGGAAGGGGAGAGACACCAGGTAAGTGGCTGCTGCCGTGGTACACTCAGAGTAGATGACAGAGGCAGTAAATAAAGGGAGATGGGTGAAGGTCAGATGTGGGAGGTACAGGAGAGGAAGAAATCAAGGCTGATAAATGTTTCTAGCTTGGGTTAGTAGATGATGGTGGTGTCCCTCCAACCTGGGGAGATCAGGACAGGGTGAGGGGTACATGGTTCAAATTTGGGATGCCTGTAAGATACCAGGCAGCATCAGATTTGAGGTCTGGAGCTCAGAATCTGGACCCAGGTGGTGTATCAGCACTGGATGGTCCCAGAAAGTGCCTGTCTACAAGTACACGGTTGTCCAAGGTGAAGTCATACAGTGAGACAATATGAAGACAGGCCTGGAGGCACACCAGAAGACAGTGGTTTCCTGGAGCCAAGGGAAGGGAGTACAGTATTTCAGGAAGGAGCAAGTGGTCAGCAGAAGAACACTACAGGTCACATAAGAACTCAGATGGGGCCAGGGGAGTTAGGAAACAGTGGAGTAGTTGGTGGCCTTGGCCAGGGCAGTATCCCTGGAGCAGGGGCTGAGAAGTGAGTAGGGAGGTGACAGCCAGTATGGACAGCTGTGGTGACAATATAAGCACACTGTTTACAGGGAAATACAGATTCTTTGTTTTATTTTGAAGAGGGGAGTCATGAGCATGTTTATACCTGGGAAGATCTAGGAGAGGCCAAGTTGAAGATACAGGCACGACAGGATCTGATCAGGGGAGCACTGGAGCGAGTGTACCAGCTGAGAAACCCCCAGTGGCTCCCTGCTGCCTTCCCCTGGCACCAAGGCAGGCAAGAGGCAGCCAACCCTTACATCCCCATCCCTTCTCCCTTCCAGTGCACAGGCCTGTTTCCATCCTAGCAACCTCTTTAAAATACCACCTTTGGCACTGGCTGCTTCCTCCACCAAGAATGTCCTTTCCCCTCAGTCACCAAGGCCCAGCCAAAATCAGCTCCCTAGCCACTCCTTCAGCTCTCCCAGATCTGAAGCAGCCTCATGCTCCTCTGCAGAGACAGCATTTGGGGCAGGTCTCATCTGGAGCTCGACCCCAGAACCTGGCCTAGTCCTGGCACATTCTAGAGAAGGAGGGGGGCAAAAAATGTTCACTGAATCAATGAATGAACAAGTACCAGCTAATCTGGGGAAAAAGACCACTGAAATTCCCAAAGCTGAGTGTAGTCCGGTGGTTCTCAACCCCACAGGAGATTTTGCCACCCAGGGAACATTTGGCAATGTCTGGAGACATTTTTTATTGTCATGATTTGTGGTTGGGGGTGCTTGACATCTAGCAGGTAGATGCCCTGGATGCTACTAAACATCCTGCAATGCACAGGACAGCCCCCCACAACCAAAACTTATCTAGTCCAAAATGTCAATAGAGCTGAAGTTAAGAAACCCAACCAGCAGAAAAGCAAGCCGTCCTTTAGGACTTCATTGTGTAGGGATAACAGTGCTGTAGCCCCCTCCCCAGCACCAGGCCTGGAGGCAGGAATGGGAGAAGAGGGGTGGGGGCAGTAGTTACAGCAACATCCCTGGCAGAAAGGTGGACCGCCCAAGCTGAGTTTGTGAAGGTCTGAAGGCAGGATAGCCTGGACAAGCCTTTACCTGGACCATCTGATGTTCACACTTTCTCCTGCCACCATACACAGCAGCCTGGCTGTGTCACCCTCTGGCACTGTCACAGTAGGGGTCAGCCCTGTGATCGTCAGCTCACCTGGGCACAAGGAAGAGACACTGTCAACCACTACACAGATCACCTGACCTCAAAGGCCATTGGCCCCAGTCAGGACTGACACCTTACTCAGAACTCTGAGCTGGACCCATCGCTGGTCTCGGTCCTGCCCATTGAAAGCGACACAGGTGTAGAAGCCACCATCTTCCATGGCCACTGGACTGATGACCAGAGAACCGTCAGGCTGTAGCTGGTGTCTGGGGACCAAGCACAGTCAGTTGGCTCCAGGCCGGGGGTTGGGTGGGGCATGGTCTTCCAGTCCCTGGTGAGAGGCTGAGCAGCCCCTGCTGTTCAGTGGGGTCTGGCCAAAGCGCTGGTCAGCCTCAGGCCCTGACAGCCTCCAGCTGCTGGCCCTTTAATTTACTTTAAAATGTCTGGCTTTTAAGCCTAACAATAAATCATTTCAATTTTTCAGATACAAAATAATTTTGGTTTGGTCTCTACTTTGCTATATTCATTTAGTAGGAATCCTGGCTCTACCACTTACGAGTTGTGTGATGTTAAGCTTCTGTGTGTAAAATGGGGGGAAAGGGCTGGCCCGGTGGCGCACTGCTACAGTGCGCCGCTTGGGAGCGCAGTGGCGCTCCCGCCGAGGGTTCGGATCCCACATACAGACCAGCCGCTCACTGGCTGAGTGAGGTGCGGGTGCAACACTGAGGGTTGTGATCCCGTTGCCGGTCCCGGTCCGGTACAGGCGCGACACTGAGGGTTGCGATCAGTTGCCGGTCACGGGGAAAGGGCCGGCCCGGTGGCGCACTGCTACAGTGCGCCGCTTGGGAGCGCAGTGGCGCTCCCGCCGAGGGTTCGGATCCCACACACAGACCAGCCGCTCACTGGCTGAGTGAGGTGCGGGTGCAACACTGAGGGTTGTGATCCCGTTGCCGGTCCCGGTCCGGTACAGGCGCGACACTGAGGGTTGCGATCAGTTGCCGGTCACGAAAAAAGACAAAAAGGGAAAAAAAAAATGGGGGGAAAATAGCACCTACCTCAATATGGCTCTTTTGCAGATTATGTGATAGAACAAGCCTCACACTCAGTATGTACTCAATAAAGGTTAGCGATTATGATTACACCCAAAATGTGTGTTCTGACTCCATTTCCTCCCTCAGCCATCGCCTTTGTTAGCCAGCATCTTATTTCTGTCCATTAACCCCACTCTGGAAGGGCCCAGAGACCCAAGTGTTGCCCTGCCCAAGGAGTCCGTTGCCCAGCAGCTCTCTCTCTCCATAACCCTGGGAGTCCTGCTCAGGAATGACCAGGGTGACAACCCCTCTGCAGTGGCCACAGGATGGGGTGGGGCTGCAGGAAGAACAGGAGGGAGGGGAGAGGAGCTGGATAAACCTGGGAGAAGAGATGAGCTGCCCATCTCTCTGCCACTCAATGGCTGGGGGCGGGAAGCCTTCAGCACGGCAGGTCAGCCGGATCCGCTGGCCTGGACTGGCATCCACCACCCTGGGCTGGTTACGGTCCAGACGCAGCCTGCAAAGTAAGCAGCCCATGGCCATAAGGGGCCCTTGCCACTGCCTCCCCTTCTCCCCTGGGGACCTCTGCATGAGCCCCATGGCCCCCTGCTCCCCATCCAGTTAAAGTCAGCTTCCTACCCCTTTATTGTGCTCACCATCAATAACTACCTGGGGTAACGTCTAAAAGCCACTTCCCCACTGCCCCACCTGTGTCTGGCCAGACACACCCATCACCCAGCACCTCCAACTGTTTCTTCCTGCCCTGCACATTTGCCACCAGGCCCTTGACTTGGGCGTCCCCTTCAGCCCTCTGCCTCCCATCTGTAAATGGAACCATTCCCCAAGGCCAGCTCCAGACCCTCCTCCAAGAAGCCGTCTCAGGCCCTTGAGCCCTGGGTGCTCTTCCCTTCCCTCAGTTCCTGAGTCCTGGACCTGAGGAGCTGCACCACTCCCCCTGCTTGGGGGTATGGGGTTCCCCTTCCTCCTCCAGAGGCCCCACTCAGGGAGCCATGTTTTTCTAGTCCTTGACTCGTGGAGCCCTGTGCAGGGGCCAGTGAGGCCCGGTCACAGCACACACACCTTTCCCTCCTCTCACCCATGGAGACCACTGGCCATGGCCCTCTCGGATGGGGGAGGCTGAGAACAAAATGGCATTGCTGAGCTGTTACCTGGTTGCGGTCCCTTGGTGTGAGGAGGAGACGGTCCCCAGGCCCCCTGCATTACCCCCTAGGCCAGAGTCCTGAGAACTGTGGCGCTGGACTGGGTCCCTGGTCTGAGGGAAGTGCCTCAGCTCAGCCTCAGACAGCATGGCCATGTCACCCCCTGTCATGAAGCCAGAAGATGCAAGGTGTGAGCTGTGGGGAGAAGGGAGTGGGAGAAGGAAGGGTGGGCCATGAGGCCAGCGGGGGGCATGTGGAGAAATGAGGGCCACAAGGTGGCACCTGACACCAAGAAGCCCCCTAGGCCCCTCTAGTGGAGGGGTAGCCCTAGCCCAAGCCCTCCCATCCTTCCCATCTCACCCTCATGAGAACCCAGTGGTAGATGGGGTGGGGACAGGGACCTGTGATGCGAAGCTGGATCTGGGAGCCACGACCTGGCCTTGTGCTGCCACAACTGTAGGTGCCAGCATCCTCTGCCCGCAGAGGGCTGATGACCAGGGAGCCATCAGACTGCAACTTGTGCCTGAATGGGGTGTCGAGGGGAGATGTGAGCTCTGGGCTCCTGAGGACAATGAGTCCTCCCTCAGGTCACAGTGCTCCTGCCATAGGGGACCATGGTCCCACAGAGCACTCCTGTGCCCACTCACCACCCCCCACTCCCTGCCAGGGGAGGTCAGAGGGGCTGCTGTGGGACACCTGTCAGAGAAGAGGGGCAGTGGAGTGTCACATACACAGCTGTCAGAGGAGGCGGGGGACTATCACTGTTGCACACACACCTGTCAGAGGAGATGGGCTGGCCATCTTTCTGCCACCCAGCCTGGGGTTCCGGGGAGGTGCCATCTGGGCAGAAGAGTTGCACCAACTGCCCCAGGGCTGCCTGCACCAGGGAGGGCTCCAAGCCTGCCAAGCTAATCCTGGAGAGGTGGGAGGTGAAGATCTGCCTGCTGGCATGAGTGCCAGTACCAGGGACCACCCCTTGAGTAGTGTGTCCCACAACAGATGGCTTGGCATCTGTCATGTCACAGGCACTTGCAGGGCCAGAGGGTTTCGTGGGAGGCCAAGCTCCAGAAGCCCATGGACTCAGGTATCTACCCTCCCCAACCTCCCCACCACACCCCCAGGCACTGCTACCTCACCCTGCTCTTGCAACAGCAGCAAGGTAGGCACAAAGCCCCGGGCATGGGGAGGAGGTTGGGGAGGGATGACACATATCAGATTCACATGGGGGCTAAACTACACACTTGAATCCTGTAGAATCTAAAGTTTTAATTTCTTAATTTTGTTTTTAATCTTCCCAAATCCCTCACTAATATGATCCAGTCCCAGGAGTAATAACAAGTGAAACCCACACCAAATCTATGAGATATACAGAGCAGGAGATAATGTCACCATTTTACAGGTCAAGAACCCGAGGCTTAGAGAAGTTGGGTGCCTTGCCAAAGGTCAAGAAGTGGGTAAGCTTTTCCAGCTAGACAGGCCCCAGGATATACTCGCTAAGATCTGATTGAGAACCCAGAAGCCAGTATCCACACCAGTGAACATTAGACACCAGATGAGTTCATGTCTCTGAGGCCTCAGCTTCCCCATCTGTAGAAGGAGGGGAACAAGGTCCACCAGGCAGGGCTGGCTGGAGGATTAGAAGTTGGGGATGGGGAAGTAGGGCCAGCTAAGCTCAGAGTTGCAGCTGCAATAGGCTCACCCCTGGCCTGGGTGCTCTGTCCCTCTACCTGGGGAGGGCAGGCCTCACCTGTAGGACGATCTGCGGTAGGGTGGCAATGGCCGTCCAGCATTTCCGTCTAGCCCAGGGGTCCTGGGCCCAAGCTCCTGGCCCCTAGGCCGTTCTCCAAAGGCCTGGGCAAGAGGGGTCTCCCCCGGCCCAAGCTCTTGGTCTTGCCGCCTGAGGCCACCAGAAGGCAGGGGCTTTCTCTGTACTGTGGTCCCTGTCCTTTGCCAGCGGGGCTCCTGCTGTCCTTCTCCATCTGTGGGGGTGCTCTGGCCAGAGGCCCCAGGCTCGGCATGGCGGGTCCCGTGTTGGGGCCCCCGGCAGCTGCTCATGCACTCCTGCTCTGAGGCAAAGTTATTGGCATTGCCGTGACAGCCGCCATACCAGAAACGGTTACACTGGCCCACGGAGGCGATGAAGTACCAGCGGACAGCCCAGTCTGCACAGGAGCCATGAGCACTGGGCAGCAGGCACCGTACGGGGTAGGCTGGGGAGCAGGGATAGGACACATGTCACCGAGGTGCCCAGTAATAAAGCTCCACCTGCCATCCCCTTGGTCTCAGACTTAGGAGCCAAACCCTTTGCAGTTTACAGAGCACGTCTACACCCCTGCCTGGGCCGCTGACCTGGCCATTGAGGCACAAAACACTTCCTTCCACCAGAATCTGTCCACTGCCCAGACCTGCCCCAGGCTGGGGCCACAGCAGCCTCAACCCACACCTCCCTCCCTCCAGGAGGTCAGGGAGCCCTGGGCTGGCTCCCTCGTGCCCCTACCCCCTGCCACTGGACCCCTGGAGTGTACACACACAGCAACACCAGGGCTTGACCCTGCCTGCTTAGCTCATGATGAGGTCCCAGGCCTGAGCCTCCTGGCCTGTGAAGATGCCCAGCAACAGCCTATCTTTATCCCCAGGACTCTACACCAGCCTCTGAACCAGGCTCCAGTCCCCAGCCTGCACTGCTAACTGCCCTCCTCGCCAGCATAGCCTGCTCTCTCTCCACATTCAGATGTGACCATGGCTGCCCATCTGGGTGTCCAGCCTCCTGTGGAGCCCTGACCACCAGCCCCAGGCTCGCTTTTGATGACACATGATGGTCCCTGGCAGCTCCACCCATGCATCCCCTGCTCCAGCCTCAGTGATCTCCCCACCGTCCCTCCATGACAAGTTCTGGCTGCCCCACCCACATTCCAGGAAGGATCAGGACACCTCCGCCCATCCCAGCACCGACCACCCTGCACCATCTCTGCCTCAGGAGAGGGCTGGCTCCTGGGTGCAGGATGGGCCTTTCTCCTCCTTGGAATCCACACCTATAACCTTCCCTGACTCCCACAAGCAGCCAGGCAGCCTCAAGTGCAACGTGTTGGATACAAGAACGATCAAAACTATTCTCTTGTCTGGCACCTAGTGGGTGCCCAATAAATGTTTATGGAAGAAATGGATGAAAAACTGAGACAGTATGAAGGTCTTTGGCTCTGGGTGGGGGCTGGGGACACAGTTGGACCAGAGTTGACCCACCAGGAAGATGAGAAGGGGGCATCCACTCACCGTAGCTGGGCTGGCCCACACAGCCTTCCCCAAGGGGGCCAGCTGCAGAGGCCACATTGTCATAGCAACAGCCAAACTGGGAGCCCCTGCACTCTCTGGGCTCATTCTGCTGGGCCTGGGGCTGGTGGGCCTTGGGGGCCTGGGAAGGAAGCCCAGGGTTGGGAAGTTCAGAATGGGTCTGGTTCTTGATGAGGACTGGGCTGCTGGGGCAGGAGTCAGCAGGGAGGAGGCAGGCAGTGGCAGCAGGGGGAACAGAAAGAACTGAGCCCAGGGTATATAACCCCTGCCTAGAGGAGATTGTCAGAGGCCAGGAGAATGTTGGATACACTCCCAGCCCCAGCCCAGGACTATCTCTGAAGCCCTGTGCCCTAGAAAGGATGGCCCAGGTTGGCAGGGCCCTCCCTTCTCTGAAGGCACAGGTGCAAAGATTCTGGGTCAGTGGCACTAAACAGGGCTGAACTCCTTCCCACCCACTCCACCGCCCCATGTGTGCCAGACACTTACCACGGAAGCTACTGCTCTCAACCCTGGTCTGCTCCTACTGTTGTCAGCACTGTAAGAACTTGTGCAGCCAGCATGATAGGGTCCCTCAGCCACAGACATGCCATCAGGGCAGCACCCGTACCTAGGCAGACATTGCACAGCCCTCCCTCACTGCCCAGCCCTGACCCCCACCCTTCCAGGGACCCCATGCCTGAACTTCCAGCATCCTAGGACCCAGGCTCTCTGCATGGGGGGTTGACTAGGTGAGGACCTGGTGGGAGAGGGTGCATCCCGGCACAGGGCATACCATTTTGTGTGCCCCAGCCTCTGCCTACATCCACCAATACATTGCAGGCACCAGGGAGGACAACAGTAACACAATGAGCAGAGGCTGTACCCCTAGTGACTGACAGATCCTCAACTCACACACCCACCACAAAACCAAGAACGGGGAAATTGATCTGAGTCTGCCCAAATATCAGGTTCCCTGATATTTAGTTTACATTCCATTTTTACAAAATAGCAGCAGATGGGAGATGAGGCAGAAACGGGGGTTCAAAGGAACCCACCGTTTATCTCACCTCCACCAGCCAGGTGTTGGGAAGGAAGATGAGAGGAGGAATGTATCAAAGCACCTTCTACATGCCAGCAATCTGTGATTTATTCCATCTTCACAATAACCCCACCCAGTGGCTGTCATGGTTCCCAATTCTCAGAAGAGGATGCCAAGACCAGAGAGGTTAAGTAACTTGCTCCAAGTCACCCAGCACACAGCTGGTAAGTGACTAAGCTGGAAATCACCCCTAGGCTGCTGGGCCCAAAGCCTGTGCCCTTAGCACCCCAGACCCTGAGGGTGTGGGTACATGCTGGGGACATGTCCAGGGCAGGCCGTGGAAAGAGGAGAACCACAGGGAGGATATTTGGTGGGGGTGGGATGGCTCAGCCCCTCTCTGCATGGCTGGAGTGGGTAGAATTGTCAGGAAGATTGTTAGGAACTGCTCAGCCTCTGTCCAACCTTTCCATTGGGTTGCAGAGCCTGGTTTGGATCAGAGAGCTAGAATCATACCCCATTGGCCTTCTTAGAGACTCATCAAGAGGAAGCCAAGTCCCCAAGATTGCACAATCAGGGCAGCTCAGAGACAAAATCTTGGGAGTCCTATTCCTGAGCTCTGCAAACCCACCCCACCCCCTTTCTGACCAGAGACACTGGCTCCCCCTTTAGCCCCCAGCCCCTACCTTCCCTCTTAGTCCTGGTAAGGAGGAAGGGCTGCCTCCAGCACCTACCTGCTCTGCAGACACGAGGTGCTGGGACAGCCTTGCCACTGTGGCCCGAGAGATGCAGTGTAGCCATCGGGGCAGCACCCATGGGGGCTGTGTCTGCAGTCAAGGGACCCTGGGCTAGACCTCAGGGGCTGCCAGTGTGGGAACTGCTGCAGAGAGGGAGCTGGGCCCTGGGCTGACAGGTGGGGGACCTGTTCTTCTCTGGGGTTATCCAGGGCTGAGGGTTGCTTCTGGGCTGCCCACCATTGGCCTCTGGAGTCTAAAAGAAGAGGAAGCAAAAGACATGCTGATGTGTCCACCTGGCTCCTCACCCTCCATCCGTGTCCACATAGGGCCCACCTTCCTCCAACCCCCGCCGTTCCCCCCACTCCCCGGCAGACCACTCTCCCCTTGACTATGGTTGCAACCCCACCCTTACCTCCACCTCCAGACACCATCACTTAGACAGAGATGACAGTGCCCTGGGTGGGGCTGCGACTGAGCTTCTCACCTGAGGCAGGGGACTCCTGAGGGCCCACAGGCATCCAGGGGTCTCTGGGGCGGGCGTGTGCATCCTGCATGCTGGGGACCTCTGCAGGGAGCCAGGCAGTCAGTGTGGAGTGCAGAGGGAGGGAAGAGAAGAAGGGCCTGAGTGGTGGCCAGCCCTGACCACGGGAAGGGTCCAGGGAACCCAGCACAGCAAAAGGGAAGACGGGCAGGGCCTGTGACTGCCTAGAACCCCCTTCCACATTTCAGAGTCTTTGGTCTCACAGAACATGTAATGTTACATGTTCTGCAAAAAGAAGGACCAGATATAAAATTAGCCTCTATGTTATGATCCCAACTATAGGAAACAAAAAATGGCATGTACATTTTTAAAAAAATTGGATTGATGAAAAGACAACAATACAATTAAAAAATGAGCAAAAAAATTAGACACTTCTCCAAAGAAGATATACAAATGTCCAACAAGCACATGAAAAGATGTTCAACATCATTGATTATTAAGGAAATGCAAATCAAAGCCACAATGAAATACCACCACAGCCACTAGGATGGCTGTAACCAAAGACTAAAATGATACACTAAATACCACCAAATTGCACACTTCCAATGGGTTAGCTGTATGCTATATAAATTTCACATCAATAAAAAAATTCTATAATAAAAAAAATTGGATTGAAGGATGAAGGGATGGAAGGAGACTAAATAATGAAAAAGCAAATATAGCAAAATATGGATTATAGGATTTAGATGGTGGGTACACGGCTGCTCGCTATACATTTCCCTCAACTTTTCAGCATGTTTAAAATTTTTCATCTCATCTAACTTGGTAAATTTACTAAAAATCATTGTACCACTAGAATGGATGTTTTTTATGGTATGTTGTATTTAAACAACCTCAATAAAGTTGTTAAAGAGATTTTTCATCATAAAATGCTGGAGAAAAATGTAAAAGGTTGAGTAGAGAAAATCAGGACCACAGGATTTTTTTTTTTTTTTTTTTTTTTTTTTTTTTTTTTTGATGCATAAGAGAAAACTTGCGGGACACACCCTGAAATGTTCATAGTGAAAGTTTCTGTAACTTTGGGGGGTTTTTTTGGCAGCTGTCCAGACAGAGATGGAACCCTGGATCCTGGTGTTACAAGCACCAGCAATTCTAACCAACTGAGCTGGCTGTTGGGCCCCTCATAGTGAAAATTTCTGGGTGCTTAAGGAGAAAGTGGGGGAGGTCCTTTCTTTGTTAATGTTCTCAAGTTTTCCACAATAAGCATATTACTATATAATAGAATAAAGTTATAAAAAAAAATGAAATAAGTGAATATCCCATTCCTGCAAGGACTACATCTTGCCAGTCACCAGGAATATTAATAACAATTGGGGATTGGAAGACTCCAATAGATATATGGTAAAATATGTTTTTTTTTTGTTTTTTTTTTTTCGTTCATAATATCCTTTTACTATCTTTTTAATGTCTTTAATGTCTGCTAACGTTCCTTGTTTAATTCTTTTTTTTTTTTTTAAAAAGATGACCGGTAAGGGGATCTTAACCCTTGACTTGGTGTTGTCAGCACCACGCTCACCCAGTGAGCGAACCGGCCATCCCTATATGGGATCCGAACCCGGGGCCTTGGTGTTATCAGCACCGCACTCTACCGAGTGAGCCACGGGCCGGCCCGTAAAATATGTTTTAATTGTATTTATCATACCAGGGTAAAGCCTGGCACAAGGCTGATTCAAACTCTCTCCCCAGATCTACCACCTCCCACACACAACCCCCCACGTTCTCATCTGTATGTGCAGTCCTCAGTCCGGGAATTTCTGCCTGCTGTCCCTCTATCACCTCGAATTTAAAGTCATCTCTGCCAAGCCCGTCCTGCTGTCTGGCTCCCCATTGTGTGACTCTTCTCTTCCATTTCTTCAGGCTTCACTCCGAGTCCAGGACCCCTCTTCGCACACCCTGCGGGTCCATGCCTGCTGCTGCGTTTCCACGGCCCTGTCTAGCGCTCAGCTTTCTATATTCTGCTCTCATGAGCTCCTGCCTCCCTCCCGTCTCTCTCCACTTCACTATGACCCTCAGGGGTGGGACAAATTTGTCCTCCTAAATAGCTTTCATGGTATCACTCTTTAGCTCCAAAATTTTCAATGGCTCCCCTGGCCTATTAGATCAATTTAGTTGGAAGCTGGAAGCCGGAGGCCTGAGGCCTGAAGCCTTCCAGCATTGCCCCAGCCCTAAGAGCATTACCTGCTAGGGACCTCCTTTCACCCTGGGCTGAGGGCCAGTTTGAGGGCCCTTTATTGGTCTCAGAGCTGCTGAGCCCTTAAAATGTGGCTAGAGTGACTAAAGAACTAAGTTTTAAATTTAATTTGTAAACAACTTAATTTGAAATTTTAAAACTGATACTTGATTCACTTATGGAAAAATATTTAAGTATGTTTGGAACAACCTGGGCATGTGAATATACTTTTTCAACTGTACATTTTATGAAACCTAAATATAGATGAAGTATTCCAGTGAAAATTTAACATCTGAATTGAGATGTGCTGTAACTGTAAACCATACATTGGGTTTTGAAGATTTTGTTTAAAAAAAATCTTGTAAAAGAGAATGTAAAATATCCCATCAATAATTTTTATACTGATTACATGTTGAAAACATTTCTACTAGGTTAAATAAAATACATTCTTAAATAGAAATTCACCTGTTTCTTTTTATTTTTTTTAACCTGGCTCTAAAATATTTAAAATGACATAAGTAACTTGCATTGGAGACACCATTCTAGAGTCTAGAAAAGAGGAGGCAGAAGAGCAGCTGGGGGTCCACTCAGACACCTGTCCCTCGGAGGGCCCCTGCACCACGGCCCTGCTCCCCCACACCCCTCCCCTTCCTCCAGGCACACGGCACTACAGCATTATGGTTTCAGTATCCAAAGTACCAAAACCACCTAAATTCGAAATTATCACCCATCATGGACTTCTGTGGAACCCCTAGAAATCATGAGACTGGAAAATGTTCACACACAGTACAGCATTAAGAGGAAGAAACAGATACAAAATTACACACACAAGGAAATACACTAAACATTAATCTCATGAGTGGATGAGATTAAGGGCAATTTAAATATTTTGCCATAGGGGCCGGCCCGTGGCTCACTCGGGAGAGTGCGGTGCTAGTAACACCAAGGCCACGGGTTCGGATCCCACATAGGGATGGCCGGTTTGCTCACTGGCTGAGTGTGGTCCTGACAACACCAAGCCAAGGGTTAAGATCCCCTTACCGGTCATCTTTTAGAAAAAATAAATAAATAAATATTTTGCCATATACTACTTTTCTAATTTCTCCAAAATTTCCATAACGAGCACACATCATTTTATCATTCTAAAAATAGAAATAAAAGTTATTTTACGACTCAGCCTGGCCCGAAACTCTCTTTTCCTTTCCTTCCTTTCTATGTGAATCCTACTAGCCCCTGAGGCAGGCTCAAGGCTGCCTCTTCCAGGAAGGTGTCCAGGGCTCTGTGGAGCTGAGTGCCTCTGCCCAGAGATGGAGCCCTGAGGGTCTTCCTGCCGGTGAGCCCCGAGGGCCAGTCCCGGGCTGAGGCACACAGGGAACCTCTGGATGGTTCCTGAGCCTGAGCTTCCCCACATTGCCTCACCACTACTATCCACCCTTTGTTTACGAAGCAGGCATTGTGCCATGTGACCCACCACAAGCCTGGAAAGTCACTCTTTTTACCCCATTGTACAGATGGGAAAACTGAAAATCACAGAGCAGAGGGATCTACTAGCCCAGGGCCACATGACTGTCAGTAATGGAGTGGATTTGAACCCATGTCTGGTTGTTAGACACTTGCCACGCACCTCCATCGGAATCCTGCCATCCCCCCCCCGAGGTCCCTACAGCTCACAGACCCCCCATCACTGGCACATCAAGGCCAGACCCAGCTCTCTGCAGTATCAGAAGGCCACTCCCCTCCCCACCCCAACTCAGCCACAACCCACAACTTTCCTCAATGTCACATCCTCACACCACGGAAATGCTGGCCTCTGTGCCCTTCCTCCTGCAGGTCCTCATGCCTGGGATGCCTCCTTTTCCACTGGTCTGGAAAACCCTCTGGAGAGGGGGAGGACAGAGGCACAGCCACGCGTGAGGATGGTCTTTCCTGGACCTCCCCCGTCCCTGCACACTCAGTCACTCAGTCATTCAACGAACATTTACTGAGCACCTGCCATGTGCTAGGTAAGTTCTGTGGGGGTAAAAAGAGGAAAAAGGAAGTCATGGGCCCAGCCCTCGAGAAGCTTGTAGCCCTGACACACTGTAGACAACCACAGCAGTGCAAGGAAATGGACAGTGACACAGAAATGACAACATGCTGTGAGAGGGAGATGCTACTTCTGAGTAGAGGAAAACAGGGCTCGCTCGTGAGGTTGCACGCGAGTCGGGCTTCACGGATGGCAAAGGCGTCGGTGGGAGAGATGCGGGAGAAGGGTGGCCCAGGCGCTGGCATGGCACAGGCCCAGGCTCAGAGCTGGAAGTGCTTTCTGGGCTTGCTGTGAGTGGGAGAGAGGCTGGGCCGGTCTCCCCCCTGCCCCTCATGTCCTTACCCTGAGGAAGGTGGCAGGGCTGCGTGTTACAGGGCTCCACGTCTGAGGGCTTTGACTGCTGCAGGCTGCTGCAGTGGCTGGGTGGCCCAATGGCACAGACCACCTGTCGCCTCCGGGTGCCTGAGCTGCAGCTCTTGGAGCACTGAGGCCCATGGGTGAGAGTGGGGAGAGAGAGACCCTGAGGCTGGGGGTGGGGGTACCCACGAGGAAGAGAGGAGGGGAAGGTGCCCAGTGACGTGTGTCAGATCCAAGGGCAGGGCTCGTGTGCCTATCAGAGACCCAAGGAACCAGGGCTAGGCAGCAGGTATAGGGAGAGCACTCACTAGACCCCAGGTGCCGACACGCCAGGCCTGGTCACTGATGGGGGGACAGTCCTCATGCACACAGGGCTCAGTGAGGGGTGGCTGGTCCTCCGAGGAGCATGCCATGGCATCAAGCAGAGACCCCTCAGCACCCCGGCAAGTGACGCTCCTCCTCCGGCTGCCAGCGCCACAGCTGACAGAACACTGCAAGGACCAAGCTGTCAGCAGGAGCTCACCCCTACCCAGAGGAGCCACGCCAGTCAGACAGCTGGAGGCCCACTGGCCTGCTGTGCGGGCAGCATTCTACTGCCCACGTCCTGCTCCCAGGCCCAGTCACTCCCCTGAGGTCACACAGCCTGTACCATAGCTGCTGACATCAGGCTGAGGTGTGTTTTCCACAATGCCTCGATTGCAACGTGAACATATGTAGGTGCTGAAAGCAATGACTGGCAGCCCTAGACACTGTCAGCCCCTCCCTCACCCCCAAACACTGTGCCCAGGCCAGGCCTTTCCTGCCCTGCCCTGGGGTCCTGGAGAAGGAGGAGGAGCCCTGGCCTGGGTTCCAGGTATGTGCTTCCAGCCCCAGCCTTGGCCACAGCTCCCAAGGCAATGTGGTAGGTCACTTTACCCTCCAGGGTCTCAGTTTCCAGGGCAGAGGACAAGCCTCCCAGCCCTGCCCTGCTGCTGCCCCAGGCCCAAGGCCCAGCTTCTGGTTTCCGTGCTACTGCCCCAGCCTGATCCAGCCCAAGGGCCTCACCTCTCCCCAGGGCTCTGTACTCCAGGCTGCACAGCGCTGCAGGTTGCAAGCCTGCGTGGTTGGGGGCTTCCCAGGAAGGCCAGCACACTCGGCCTCCTCAGCCGCCTCCTCAACACCAGCCCCATCGGACGAGATGCAGTAGACAGAGCGGGACTGGGAGCCACCTCCACAGGAGGCTGAGCAGGGCGCCCATGGCCCTATCTTCCAGCTGGCAGGGAGTAGGAGTCGGGTAAGGTAGGCCCAGGAGTGGGGCAGATGCCCAGCATGAGGGGGCACCAGCCGTTACACACAGGGGTGGGCTGAGGACCCCAGCCCTACCCTGGCCCATCTTCTGAGCATCCAGGTCATGCAGTGGGGGCCAAAGAGCTCTGCACAAAGGCCGGAGCCAGTGCTCCCCAGCATCTCCAAGCGTCTCAGCCTCCTGTCCTCGCCCCGAATCCTCCTTTCTCCTCACCAAGTCCCCTTCACCTCAGTCAGACTCCATTCCTTCTGGGTCTGACCCCAGACAGGCATTTTCTTGAGGGTCTATGCTCACCTGAGCATGGAATGGCCCCACCAGACGCCCCGCCGCATCATGCAAAGCCAAGCCCACCACCATCTCATGGGGCCAGCCGCCACCAGGGCCAGGTGGTGGAAGGAACTGCGCCCACCCTGCAGGGAGCCCACAGATTACCTGTTCCCACACACACGCTGGGCCCCAGCAGGGCGCCATGCTCCGGGCTGGTGCAGGTAAGAGGTCCTTTGTGCACGAACAAAGGCATTGCCAGTGCCAACAAGCCCTGTGGCCGATCCCTGGCCCACCCCTTGGCATCTGCTGAGCCAAGGTCCCTGCCAGCTCAGATGACAGGGACTCTAGTGACTCCCCTACCCTTCCACCACTAGCTTGGATGTCTGAGTACTGCATGGGCACATGAGGGTGAGAGAACAGGCCTCGGCCTCACGCTCAAGTCCTGTCACTGCCTCCCCCAGTGATAGCTGCCACCCCAACCTAGCTATAGCAATGGGGAGCCCTGTGCTGCCCAACCTCTTTGCTCTACACCCAAAGTGGCTGAGGGACACCACTTCCTTCCCATCCAAGTTCTTGGGCCCCACCATGGGTGGAGGGAGTTGGCAAGGGCCTCACCGCTTGGTGTGCGGGCACGGGTGAGGGTTGCAGGAGCGATGGTCGGTCGGCCGTGGCTGGTGCTGGCACATGTGGTCGGGGTAGGCCTCATCGTCAATGGTGCAGAACACCAGGCGGGACTGGTGACCTGTGCAGAGGCCCGGCCATGGCGGACGGCCAGTCAGTCAACACTCACCAAACACATGCTCTGGACCAGGCTGCATTCTGGATACATCCCGCAGGCCATCTCAATTAAGTCTCAAACAGCTCCGAGGCAGGTGTCATCATCCCCAATTTACAGATGAGGAAACTGAGGCTCAGGGAGTTTTAGCTGTGAGTGACAGAGCCCCCTCCGACAGCTGGTCCTCGGCTGCAGGCCTGGCCCCCATTCTGCACCCCTCCCCGCGGCCTGTGCCCTCACCTCCACCACACTCCGTGCTGCAGTCGCTCCATGAGCCGTGGCTCCAGCTGAAGCTGAGGCCGGGGGCACCCAGGGGCAGGTGGTACTCGTAGTGCACACCAGGGTTGGGCTCCTGGCTGAGGAGCTGCCACAGGAGGGTCCCCATTGAGGTCTGCTGCCAGGCTCTCCCCATCCCTCACCCCCCGCAGTCCCCTTGCCAGCCTCAGTCCCAGAGGCACCCAACCCACCTGTATGCAGGGCATGGCGGCCTCTTGCAGACCATGTGCAGCCCATTTGCCATCTAGCCTCACAGCCCTGCTCACCTCGATGACAAGGGGCTCTGAGATGGGGCCCCGGGCCAGGAGCTGTTCAGGGGCCAGGTCCCCCTCAGCACCCCGCTCGTACTGCAGGACGGTGCTGGCCACAGGCAGGGCCCGGGCTGCCTCGATGGTCCAGTGCCCGTTGAGGTAGTATTCCCCGCGGATGTTCTTCACCGCTGCACGCAGGTGAGACAGCCCCAGTCAGCTGGGGAGGATGTTCGCGCCTCCCCCTGCAGCCCCAGACTCACCCAGGAAATTCCTGCTGGCGGCTGCCTCCTCGATGCGGATGCTGGTGGCCCCCACGGGAACTACAAGGATCTGGTTGTACCCTGATGGGGGGAGGGGGAAGGGATGCTGAGCTGTCCTTCCCCCGACGTCATTCAAACCACGGGAAGGAGTTGCCCCTGAGGATTCCAAGTGCCACGGCAGCACAGCTTGTGGGCAGGGAAGGTAAGTGGGGTACAGGCAGGGCTGGGTGGCTTGGGGAACAGTGTTCCTGGCAGAGGAAACAGCTCACAAAGGCCAGAGGGTCAGGAAGGCTCAGGGTACCCAGAGCAGACTGGGAGGGAGAAGGGACGAGGACGACATTGGGCGGTGAAGTGTGAGATCAGGCTGGACAAGTTGAGCACGTGTCCTAATTCAGGTGGGCACATGGGGGGATCCTGTGAAGAGTGCAGCCTCCATCCTGAGCCCAGGGGGCTTTCAGACACGATCTGGGATGGTCAGACCCTCTGGGTGCTGTGAGAGCTCCTCAGCCAGAGGGTGGGACAGGCAAGGAAGGGGCAGAAAACAGGCCCTTGTCTGAATAGTCTGCAGACCCCCGGAGGCCCCCAGCTGCATCCCCCACTGGGACCCCCACCTCTGCGGAGGTCATTAGCTTCAAAGGTGCCTGTGACAGGGTAGCAGGTTGTGCCATCACCACCACACTGCAGACACTTGTCCTCCTGCTTTGATGAGTCTAGCTGGTGGTCACAGCCAACAACCTGCCAGGCACAGATGAGGGTGAGAAGGGAGAGAGCAGAGGGAGTGGTGGGCACACCAGGATCTGAGCCCTGGCTGGCCGTCCTGACGCCAGTGCCTGAACAATCCAGGTAGGACAGGGGTCCTCAGGAATCACTCAGAAGCAAGCCGGGGGTGGCCAAGTAAACCTCAGATGTGGCCTGTGGCTGACAATCCACCCGTCTGTCTGCTCAACATCCATCTCCCCTTCTCTGGTAACAGCATCCCGTTTTCCTTTGGGGGCCACCTCTCTCCCACAGAGTTTGGATGGAACTCCCCAAACATGGATTTCGGCAAACTAGCGGGTTATATCCCTTGCTCAAAGAGAGTGCACCCAACCCAAGACAAATCAGAGGTGGCCCTGGGCTGCTGGAACTCCTGGGAAAGAGGTCCTCTTTCCCTGGAGCCACCAGGTTGGTCCAGCAGAAGCCTGGAGCTGCTGGTGGCTGTCTTCACCCCTCACAGGGACAGCCTGCCTGATCCTGATACTGACCCAGAGGAGAGAAAAGCCAAGAGGTGAGAAGAAAGAGATTTTCAGCAACAACATTCAAGCACTTGCAGCCACCCTTCAATGGGGTTTGTTTTGTTTTGTTTGTTTGCTGAAGTCAGTTTTAGCCAGGTTTTTGGACCATGCCACTCAGAGGGTTTCTCTTATCTTGGGGCTAGCATTCTCAAAGGAAAAGGTAAGGGGGTCATACAGTGTCTGTGATGGCTGCAAGTCACCCTAGGAGCTAGGTTTGGTGTCCTGGGGGCTTGAGAAGACACCAAGCTCATGATAGCCACTTGGCCCTGCTGGTGCTGGACAGAAAGACACTTGCAAGAAGCTCCCAGCCAGCTCAGAGAGGAGGGGCTGGGGCACCACTCACCCGGCAGCGGCCATCCACACAGACATCCCATTTGCCAGGCTCACAGGGCGTCCCATCTACCACGGCCTCCCTGTGCTTGTAGTAGAAGTTCTCCCCCTTGGGAATGCAGTTCAGCTCACATTTGTTGGGGGCTGGAGTGGGCAAGAGGGGAAAGCTGAAATCTCAAGGTTCCAGGGTGCCCCTCCCCAGGGCCCAAGGCCTAACCTAGCACCAGCAAAGCATGGGCAGGGGCTGGAAGCTGGGAGAGAAAACCCCAAAGCAGCCGCCAACGTGGCACAGAATCCCACCCCATCCCAGGGGGAAGGGCCGTTCTCCACGAAACAGCTGCAGCTCTGGGGATCAAGTCAAAGAAAGATCTCAGACTAGGGAAAAAGCCATATACTTAGAGGTCTACCTCAGCATTATTTATAGTAATTTAAGTGTTAACAATAGGCTACTGTTTAAATAGATTATCTGTCAATGGAGTATTATGTATGTTGAGTACGCAGTTAAAAACGAAGAAAATGGGCTGGCCAGTTTGCTCAGTTCATTAGAGTACAGTGTTATAACACCAGAGTCAAGGGTTTGCTGTCAATGGAGTATTATGTATGTTGAGTACGCAGTTAAAAACGAAGAAAATGGGCTGGCCAATTTGCTCAGTTCATTAGAGTACAGAGTTATAACACCAGAGTCAAGGGTTTGGGATCCCTGCACCAGCCAGCTGCACCCCCACCCCCTCAAAATGTAGAAGATGTACAGTTATGTGGAAAGATGCTTGTAACACAGAATGCAAAATGATAATACGTAATAATTACGGTACGGAAACACAGAGAAATATTGAGAAAATAATGCGAACAGGGCTAGAATAAAATGCTAACAGTGATCCTGTGAAAGAGGTGGGGTTAGGGTAATTTTTTTCTTGTTTTAATTCGGATATTTATCTAAATACTACAGACACACTGTTTAAACAGCCTAAAACTGCTAACAGTGTTATAATAACGTTCACAACAGGGAAGACATCCTTCTACTACTTCTCTTTTCAGACTTTCCTGTGTCCCAATTTTTCTACAATGTGGATATACTTAAAATTACTTTTAACGTATATCCACCTCGGGATCCAGGAGGAGTGCTGAACGTCAAAGGGCACCAGTGGAGCCACCCCACAGGTCAAGATCCCCGAACACAAACCCCCTGGCGATAGAAGCGTTCATTGATTTGGAATCCAGGGTGCATGGAGTTTCCAGGAGTCATCTGCAGCGGGCAGCAAAAACTAACACTCAGAAGGATTCTCCTAAAGCATCTTCTGACCCATCTAAAGTGTTCTAATTACACACGTTAGTGGTTTTTGTTTTTGTTTGTTTTTCCTGAACTGTATTTCTCTAAATATAAACGACCTACGCCCTTCTCGAGGTTACCCAGACCAGCTCCTCAGGCCCCGATCCTCAGTAAGTGGGATCTTGCTGGGCCGGGCCGCTCCGGCCCCTCCAGCAGCTTTCCCAACGGGGCACCAGCCCTGCCCCCGCCGCTCGCCACCGCCTCCTCTGCGGACACGGGACGCGTCCGTTAGCAGGCCAGACAAGAAAGGGCTCAGAACGGTGTAGACACGCCATGGCTTTGTCTGCAAATACACACGGAGGGAAAAGAGGATCCGGGAAGACCTCCGGATGACCTCACTGTTGTGCTCCAATGGCACGTGGTGGGAGGACTGGCGATTTGTTTTAGTTTGACGGAGCGTCTACAGCACGGCAGAAAGAACGGTCAGGCCGGGGAGGCGGGAGGAAGCGCAGGCGGGGGCGGTGCAGGGGGCGCGGCGGGGCGGTGCAGACGG